ATGAAGGGGGGGAAATCGGAGGGGGAGACGTGCCATGAGAGACTGTGGACTCTGAGAAACAAACTGAGGGTTCTAGAGGGGAGGGGGATGGGGGGATGGGTTAGCCTGGTGATGGGTGTTAAAGAGGGCATGTATTGAATGGAGCACTGGGTATTATACGCAAACAATGAATCATGGAACACTATATCAAAAACAAATTAATTAATTAAAAATATATTAATATTTTCTGACAGGTATGATTACCTTTTTTCATTATCAAAATCAACAGTTTGTGTATCTCCAATCTATTCCCAATATAGCAGTCTAATCATATTCCATTACTTAAAAACCTTCAACTTAGAACATAAAGGTCTTTACTCCTTTGTCTGACACAGGAGCCCCTTTAAAAATTATCAACTCAGATCCTTTCACTCCTCTGCTCAAAGTCTTGCAATGCCTTCCCATTTCACTAGGAATGAAAATGAAGGTCTTAATAAAACCCTAATAATCTGCACTCCTCCCTCTTACTCCCCTTTGTTTTCTACTACGCTATCCCTCGAGCACTCTCCAAGTCATTCTCCCTAACTTAGAGTTTCTGTTCTAGTCATTCCCTCTGGGATGTTCATCCCTGAGAAATCTATTGCCTTACCACCTCTAAATATTCACTCAAATTTACCCTTTTCAGTGAGGCCTCCCTTGAGCACCCTATATAACACCATAAACTCCTCTTTTTCCTCTACACTTGGATTCCCTTTAACTGCTCTACGTCCTTTTTTCCATAAAACTTACCACCTTATAAAGTAGTACACAGTTTACATATCTATTTATTATTTATTGACCATCTCCCTCTGTTGGAATGTAATTCCCAGGAGGACAATTCTAGTCACTGAGGTATCACACATACCAAGAATATTGTCTGACACGCTGCTGACAATAAATATTTGATGAACAAATGAATGAATGGTTTTCACCATATTTGCTATCTTAACTTTAAGCACAAAACTGACAAGATTAAACAGATTGCTGTATTACTCCACCAAAATTTAAGTTTCAATCACCTTTAGTGTTGACGTGCTTCCTATTTGGCACTGCCTTAGTTGAGATCCTTTAATTGCTTCCAAGATGGTTCCTCCTTCACATGGTTGTCAGAATTATCTTTGCAAAGCACAAACCTAATCAAAGCAGTCCATTGCCTAAAAACATCTATCTAGCTTAGAAAATAAAATCTTTACTCCTTAGTTTGACAAAGGTGTCCCATAATCGGACCTCAATGTAATTTATGACTCCTTTTCCACCTTTCCTTATAAACCCTATGATCTTGCCACACTAGAACATACATTTATTTTCATTTTTACACATGCTATATTCAGATTTGAATATCCTACCCTTTCTTCACCTTGGCAAATGCTATATATCTTTCATGACCCAAGGCAAATACCACATTTTTTTAAATTTTATTTATTTATTTGAGAGAGAGAGAGAGAGTGCGCGCACGCATGAGTGGGGGGAGGAGCAGAGGGAGAGGAGGAGCAGACTTTTGGCTGAGCAGGAATGATGAAGGGCTCCACATTTTTGATACAACCTTCTTCAATGCCCCAGGAAGAAGTAGTGTCTCCTTCCTGTACTCAAGCACTTTCTACACACATCTACTAAAGCACTTAGCACCCTGAATTTAAAACTCTGTATTTATGTCTGTCCTTTCTCCCCCACTAATCTGTGGGTTCCTTACTTTTATTCATCTTTATACTCTACACTCAGCTCCTTTCAAACTCACCCAACAGTTGGCACAGTATAGGACATGTGGAAAGCGTTAAGTAAATTTAGTAGAATTAAGAGTGCCAATGGATTTAATATTTTCCTAGACTAATTATTATTACTACTACTAATGTTTTACAATACAATCGGATTAGTCACAGCTATTTTTCAAAACTAAGTACTTCCTAGACCCAAGACCTAGAAATTGCAATCTGAGCCTATAATAAAAAAATCATTTTTACTATAAGTTAATTTCCCAAATACAAGAGCCTAAATCATAAAGTGATGTAAAAGCAGGTTAACATATTACTCAGCCTTTTAATTGTCATAAGATCAAAATTGATCTAGGTTAGAATTCAGTTCTATATATTTGGTTACTATTCATTTCCGGGTCTCAGAAATCCCCTTAACATTAGTAGTAAAGATGAAGTAAATGTCCTTGAAACTCATCAAGAGTAACTTTCCCGGTGAGGTTAATGGCCTGAAAAATCAAAATACAATTAACCCTTAAACACCGGGGGCTAGGGACGGGGACCACTGCACAACTGAAAATCCAAATATAACTCTTGACTCCCCCAAAACTTAACTACTAATAGCCTACTGTTGTTTGGAAGCCTTACCGATAACAAAAACAGTCAATTAACACATATTTTATATGTTACATGTATTATACGCTGTATTCTTACAATAATACCTTTAATAAAAATTTTTTTTCAGTATATCTAGGCTACAGGGTTCAACAGGGAGTTTTTTTAAATTGTGGCAAATCTCCAAAAAAAAAAAAAAATCCATGTATAAGTAAGCCCACACAGTTCAAATCCTTGTTGTTTAAGGGTCTACTGTATTATAATTAAGTGAATGAACATTTTACTTAATTCACAAAATATCTTGAACTTGCATAATTTTAATTTCCACTGGGACAACTTTATACGGAAAAATCACTTCTAATATTAGAATAACCTTATCCATTTTCCAGAATCCTAATGTGTTGTTTATCTATGATTACAAAGCTTGAGTGTCTGACTGGGATATAATGTGAACCAGACAGGATGATGGTTTTGGAAAATGTGCCATGCTTTACATACTACAGTATGAACAGTGATTTGGGAGACTGCTTCAAGAATGTACTTTGCACATTTTTCTTGCCCTGCCTTCAAGGAGATAAGTGGGATAAAGAGGAAAAAAAACACTAGGCAAAAGTTAATGTTCCTCATGAATCCACTACTGGAGAATCCAGTATGATTTTTGGAAAATAAAGGACTTACTCTGCAGAAGGTACTGCAGGAGGCATAAAGAGTCCTGATGAGTGAGGAATTAGGGTTAGAAGTTTTAAAGGACTATCATCTCTTCATTTCTACCAGGAAGTCAGAGGTCCACCTCATTCTCTCCCACCCTTTAGCTGGTCCCTGACCAGATTCACGACTGGGCAAACCAACAAGTCTGGCCCTCTGGACAAGAATTTGCTTTGATTTACAGTAGTTATGGGCTTCTAAATCTCAGCAATTACTGAGTCAATTGGATTATCAGACTACCTATGTCTGACTCATGACTGGATTTATGCTGGATATGGCTGGAAAGCCGGCCACATCTTGGGATTCAACCACAAGAATGGCTGAGGGTGAGAGAGTGGGGTGGGGAGGAGGGATAGGTGTCTGATCGTGATTATGGTTGGAGCCAAAGTCCTACCCGACAAATACATACAACATTGGTAAAATCTATGCAGTGAGGCCTGGTGCATCCCAACACCCATCCTGCCCCCATACCCACTTCCTTCCAGCCATTTGGCTACCGCGCCAGAATCCCTCTGAACCAGGTAAGAGGGAAAAGCTAAAGGCCAAGCACCAGGCACTGTGGAGGCTGAGGAGTATCTAGCGGCCCTGGAAAGGTCAGTTCCCTCCCACCTCTGTTAATCCCCGCCGGATGGTAAACCAAAACTGGACCAAATTACCCGGCCCGCCAGGCCCTGGATTCTCATCCTTTCCCGGGGCACGAAAAGGTCAAAAAAGCACATAAAGGCTCTTCGCGTCTGCACTAAAGACTTAGCAGTCTGTGGAAGCATCTCGTTACTAACCTCATTCTTTTCTTTTCACGCGAAGCTTCAGATCCCAGCTCCCCACCTCAGACGACGTTCTGGCTAGCAATGGGACACCAAAGCCCCGGGACGAAGACGCCCCCTTCTCCGCCCGCATTTTGCGCATGTGCGAAGCGGAGCAAGCGAGCCGGCCGGGTGGGGCTGGTCGCTAAGATACCAGAGGGAAAGTTCTGCTTAACGGTCGGCTAAGAAAGGCAGAGCGTTATTCTATTGGTAGAAAGTAGAGAGAGGGGGCGGGATTCAAGGGCCTTCTTTTCTGACCATTGGGTAGAATAACTGTCAATCAGTAGGCAAGCCTGGGTGGGCGGGGCTGCCTGAGAGGGTGGCTAGAGCGGCCTTAGCAACGGTCTCTGAACTGTGTAGACTGCAGTTGGGCTGCGGGGCCGGCGGCTGAGACCGGGAGGTCCCGGCTGAGGGCACCGGTTGGTGACATGGTGAGTGCCAAGCCGTAACCCCTTGCTGGGCCGGGGCTAGGGCTAAAGTTTCAACCCGGAGCAAGGAAGGAATTTTGTTTGGTTTATGAAATGTATTATTCAATACCCCCTGATCCTCGAGTGTCATTTAGTAACCCCTCCTCTCGTGGCCAACCAGAAGCACGTTGCCCGTGGCTCTAGGGATGCAAGAGCGGGCCTCCAGTTCATTCGTTCCTCGTCGTCCCCGCCAACCGCGATAGGTTCCGTGATGCAAACAGAAACCACTGGTTAGCCAGAAAGGAATTGAATACAGAGAATAAGAGGCTTAGAAACTGTTGGAGGGTCCAGCCCCCTAGGAAAGAGGCCCTGAACTCTGAAAAAGTGGCCAGGGTAGCTCCTCACTCCGCCACGGTTGGGAAGGTGAAGGTTCTGAAGGCTGGAACTGCACACCTGTGTATCTGCAGTCCAGGGACCAAGAAGCCGCCGCCGCCGCCACGTGAAACCGGAGGCGAGGCGCACAGGACCGTGATGTCCAGTTGCCATCTCTGCTGCCACTGCTTCTTAACCCGAAGCTGGAGACAAGATAGTGAAATGAGGCTGCAGAAAAACCCCAGGAGTAACACTGTGACCTTGCTTGTCAGCGGGAAAATGGCACACAGCAGGAAGATGACCTCCACCTTACCTGGATGCTGATAATTGGCCCAACTTTTACTCTTACTCCGATCCCTGGAGTAGTTTTTCACCTGGAAAATGTAGTTTTCATCTCTCAGCTTCTGCAATATAGAAAAGTACGCTAAAATAGGTGGGAAAGGGTATTATGTTTCAAGCAAGCATATCCCACAAAATAAACAAATTTTGTTATGAGACATATAGGCCTAGATGAAAGGTGTGCCTTAGACACTACTTTTTAGATATCCCAAGTAAGGCTCGTACTCGTACTCGGACATAACATCTACTGTTGGAGCATGCATGCCTTTGCCTCTTCTCTCTCTCAAAAAGCACTAGTTTGGGCGCCTGGGTGGCTCAGTTGGTTAAGCGTCTGCCTTCGGCTCAGGTCATGATCCAGGGGTCCCAGGATCGAGTCCCACATCAGGCTCTCAGCTCAGCGGGGAGTCTGCTTCTCCCTCTGACCCTACCCCCTGTCGTGCTCTCTCTCTCTCTTTCTCTTGAATAAATAAATAGAATCTTAAGAAAAAAAAAGCACTAGTTTGCAGGAAAACCTTAAGTGGTAGAAAGAACCAGGCTTTCCACCAAGATATTAATAACTAAAAGCATAAATGTTAGCAAAGGGAAAAGGGAAATTGCTGATGGTCATTATATAGTAGGGAATAGGGTTCTCGAATATGCTTATTTATTATATTTATCATCGATTATTCTGGTTCTGGTAAGTTTTCCAGTTACATAGTTTTTCATGCACATGTGTATTTATTACAGGCATCCAACTACTGCACAGGTTCAGACCAAGGGAAGAAAAGAGCAGCAAAACTTGAACTGAATGAAACCCAAAAGCAAGAAATTAAAGAGGCCTTTGATTTATTTGATGTTGATGGGTCTGGAACCATAGATGTGAAAGAACTGAAGGTTTTGAAATTACTTCTGATTCTAAGACATTTTAAAAACCATCATTTATTTGTGACAATCTTTCAGTCTTTAACAGCAGCCGTCTAAAAGCTTGATATAAAATCTCATCAGTGTGGACACCTACACCTTCAGTATATATACCTGCCTCGTACTAACAAAATAGTATCTTGTTAGGCATTTTATTCTTATTTTATGAATGAGTACAACAAAACCCAGCAGGTGACAGTAACATATCCTGTGGCATAGTGGGACTGGAACCTAGTCCTCCTGACCTAACTTTCCCTAGGTTTATGCCTTGTCCATAGTGAAAAAGAGAAAATCTAGTCACTAATAGGTCATTTACAACCTAGGAATGAGAATGTGACATATTATAATTTATTTGCTTCCTATTTCAGATTGCAATGCAAGCCTTAGGATTTGAACCAAAGAAAGAAGAAATTAAAAGAATGATAGCTGAAATTGACAAAGAAGGAATTGGCACCATTACTTTTGAAGATTTTTTTGCCCTAATGAGTGTAAAAATGGTATAGTAGTGATTTTGTTTTTCAAAGAAATACAAGCAATAGCCTTCTACATTTTTTTTTTTTTTTTGGCTGGAACAATCAGAGGTTTCATAGAGGAAGAATTGGAACTAGGTCTTTATTTTTTTATTTTTTATTTTTTTAAAGATTTTATTTATTTATTTGACAGAGACACAGCGAGAGAGGGAACACAAGCAGGGGGAGTGGGAGAGGGAGAAGCAGGCTTCCCGCAGAGCAGGGAGCCTGATGCTGGGCTTGATCCCAGGACCCTGGGATCATGACCTGAGCCAAAGGCAGACGCTTAACAACTGAGCCACCCAGGAGCCCCGGAACTAGGTCTTTAAAGATGGGTAGGATTTAGGTAGATAGGAATAGCAAGATTAAAGATGTTTTCAGGATAGTAATGAAGACTGTCCAGTGTGGAGAAGGTTGTTAGGAAATAATAAGGATATATAACTGGATAGAGAGAATGGGGTCAGAATTTTGAAGCCTTGAATTTAGCAAACATCTCCTGAGTGCCCATTTTTGCCAAGCACTATTCTAGAGAGCATTGGATGAGACAACCTCCCGATGTTCTCAGAACTTAGAGCTTACATTTTTGATAATGGATATCAGTTGCTGGTGCTAATAAGAGATATATTCTCTTTACCACCCTTGCCTCTTCCACTTTAACAAATCTTGAATTTAAGATACCTTGAGAGCAAATGTGAGTGCATTTGGAATAATTATTAAAAGTTATAGCAGTGAGGTTTCTAGAGGGGAGGAAGGTGGGGGGATGGGCTAGCCTGGTGATGGGTATTAAAGAGGGCACGTTCTGCATGGAGCACTGGGTGTTATACACAAACAATGAATCATGGAACACTACATTAAAAACTAATGATGTAACGTATGGTGATTAACATAACATAATAATAAAAAAAAAGTTATAGCAGTAAAGTCAGAACTCAGCGACCTGGTACATTGCTACTCTAGACCTCAAACACCCCATAAGTCCAATTTGATAGAATAAATGAAAGATTAATGACATTTAATTGCTTCTGTTTTTAAAGAGTGAAAAAGATGAAAAAGAAGAAATATTGAAGGCTTTCAAATTATTTGATGATGATGATACTGGAAGCATAACACTAAACAATATCAAGAGGGTTGCTAAAGAACTGGGGGAAAATTTAACAGATGATGAACTTCAGGTAATTTTTTATTTTTATAATTATGATTTACATGGATATAAATCTTAATTTTGTTGGTCAAATACATTCAAAATAAAATTTGTGTATTTGAATATTCATTTATATCATTCATTTTTAATGATTTCACATATCATATTTACATTTTGTTCTACAGGAAATGCTTGATGAAGCTGATCGTGATAGGGACGGAGAAATAAATGAGGAAGAATTTTTGAGAATGATGAAAAAGACCACTCTTTATTAATACTTTTTTTATTCCTTCTGGAAAGTTGTTAACAACTTTATATTTGCTATACAGTTCCATCATATCTGAATGTATTTTCAAGTTTTAGTTTATATGCACAAATTGGTCTCTTGATGTCTAATCCATGTGAGAAGTTACATGTTTCTACCAATATGTTGTTAAATCTGCAGCATCAAGAAACAAAGAAAATGTAATGATTTCTGTGAACCATGGATCCCAAACCAGTATTAATTCCAACTGCTACTTTTAGAGCTCCAGGGTCTGAAGACTTAGAATTTTTTTAAGTTTAATGAAACTGACCCCACATCCAAATGAATTTGGCGAACAAGCAATTAGTTTCCCTATTATTTTCTTTTTGTGCAACTCTTTAAAACTGATAAATATTTACTTTTTAATCAGTTATTCAGATATGTAAAGTATTAAATAAAATTGCCTAGCAACTACATTATTTGCTAGTTTTCCTCTTATAAAGAAATTCAAAGCAGTACTTGTACTACCTAGATTTTCCTGTAAGTTTGACCCTGCAAGTGAGCTTTTAATACCTCTGCATGGGAGGTGCTAGGGATTTTACATATGTTATCTCAATGTTACAATTTGGGGAAGCTGGTAGTATTAGCTCCATTTTACTACATATGAGAAAACTAAAGTTCAGAGGACTTAAAAATTGTTCAGTTGTTCATAGATAATAAATAAAACATGGATTCTAAATCTTGTATCCTTATGCTTCACTATGCAGCTTCCCTATGGATAAAATATCTCAGGATAATTTAAGTGTATATTTTCTAACTCATTTAATATTACGACTCTTGTAATTTAACTTTGTTTTGTTTTGTTTTGTTTTATGAAAGAGCCAAACTGTTGGGAAAGGCAGTCTCAAGATACAGTCTTTTGATCCCCCACTGGGTCACACAAGACTGGGCCTTGGGCCTAGGATACTTCTTTACCAAGAAAGAGTCTCTATAGCTTATGCTGGAATTGTCTGTGAATATCTTTCCATTTCAGACTCCATATGTACTTTTTTCTGCTTAAGCATGTGTATAATATGGTGCCTGTGTGTGTAATATGGCACCTGGCCAGCCCCACTTTGGAAAGGGGATGTCCCCTTCAGAGAGGGTGGGATCCTTCTGCAGCACAACAAGATGGCTGTTTACGGGCGAGTTGCCCTGTATTGGCTTCTGGGAGGGGCCAGCTGGCCATGGGAAACCGACTTTTGCTACTGAAACTGATACTGCTCTGTCTCTTCTCTATATGAATGAAGAATTTTTCCACCCAGTAGTTGACTGCATTGTGTTTTCCTTGGCAATTAAACTGATACCAAGATGCACTGGCAGAAGCTCTCAGGTTTCTGCTCCTGATAATAGGCAACAGATGCCACTTGCTGGATACAAACTCTTCCTAAATCTAAGTAATTGTCTTTGGAGCAAGAAAGTATTATAGAAAATGTAACTTTAATTGCCCCACCTAGTTCATTTTTAGCTCAACTGAAATGAAGACTCAAGGTTTTGTCAACACAAGAGGTTTTTTTCAATTGAAACTACAATGGTATATATGCTTACGCACATTAAGTGTTTCACAGTGTCTTTAATTCCTAATTATGCAGCATTTCCTTCTAGGCTAAGACATAACTATTAAACATGCTTCCTATGTGAAAATTATGGGCTTTAAGTTGTTAAATGATTTATATTTTTAAGTGGGTAGTATACTTAAAAATACACATGAACAAGTTCAAAGAGTTCTAAATACACTTGAACAAGTTCAAAGAGTTCCTTCTCATTCAATCCCCAGTTCTCCCTAGGACAGAATGTCCTTTATCACTACCTCTATTCAACATTGTACAGAAGTGCTAGCCAGTACATTAAGGCAAGAAACAGAAAAAAAGAGATCAGAAAGGAAGAAATAAAATTCTATTTGCAGATGACAGTATATATATACATAGAATATCCCAAAGAATTTAGAGATTGCTGGATGCAAAGTTGTTATGCAAATACAAATATAAGCACAATTCTATTTTTACAAACCAGGTATGAGTAATTAGAAAATGAAATTTAAGAGACTATTAATAGTATTAAAAGTATAAAAATCTTACCACTGAATCTAATGAAGATACACAGATCTTCAACATCAAAAACTATAGAAGAGTACTAAAGAAGACCTAAATAAATGGAGGAATATTATTATGTTCATGGATTGGAAAACTCAATATTATACAGATGTCAATTCTCCCTTTATTGATCTATAGCTTATAGTGCAATCAAAATCCTAGCCTATGTGAAACTTGACAAGCCTAAAATTTATATGGAAATCCAAGGGACCAATACAGACTCAAAGAACAAGGTGAGAGGCTAGCTTGCCTGACTATCAAGATTTATTATAGGGTCATAGTAATTAGAATAGTGTGGTGTTAACTAGGATAGACTAATGGACCAATGGAATAGAACAGAAAGTCCTGAAACAGACTCATATGTATATGGCCACTGATTTAGGATACAGGTAACTGCAGAGTAGTGGAACATTATAATAAATTGTTCCAAGTCAATAGGATATCCAAAAAGAGTAAAAGAAAACGACCCCAACCTGACACTATACATAAAAACTAAGTCTAAATTATTGTTGATCAAGACATGCAAGGTAACAATATATGATCATGACCTTGAGATCAGATTCCTAATTAGGAAACAAAACCCACTAACTTTAAAGGAAAACACTGATAAATTGTACTATGAGAACTTCTCTTCCTGAAAGGAGAGAATGAAGACATAAGCTACTAAGTGGAAAAAGATACTTTTAATAAATCTACCTGACTAAATACTTGTATGTAGAACATATAATTTTTAAAAATCTGTAAGAAAAAGCCCAATTTTTAAAAGTGAGCAAAAGACTTGAGTAGGCACTTCATAGAAAAGGATATGGAAATGGTCAAAAATATGTGAAAAATCAAAATAAGGAAAGTAGTAGGCTGAATAATGGCCTCCAAAAAGATTCATGTTCTAATCCCTGGAAACCATGAATGTTATCTTATATGACAAAAAAACCCCAAAAAAACAAAACAAACCACACACACACACATAAACAAAAAGCAACTTTGCATTATGATCAAATTAAGGACAATGAGTTAGATTTCCTGGCTTATCTAGTGGGCCCAAAATGCAACCACAAGTATCTTTATAAAAGAGATGCAGAATTGATTTTATATCCTGCCACTTTACTGAATTCCTGTATGAGTTCTAGCAGTTTTGGGGTGGTCTTTTGGGTTTTCCACATAAAGTGTCATATCATCTGCAAAGAGTGAGAGTTTGACTTCTTCTTTGCCGATCCGGATGCCTTTTATTTCTTTTTGTTGTCTGATTGCTGTGGCTAGGACTTCTAGTACTATGTTGAATAGCAGTGGTGAGAGTGGACATCCCTGCCATGTTCCTGACCTTAGGGGGAAAGCTCTCAGTTTTTCCCCATTGAGAATGATATTTGCTGTGGGTTTTCATACATGGCTTTTATGATATTGAGGTATGGACCCTCTATCCCTATACTCTGAAGAGTTTTGATCAAGAAAGAATGCTGTACTTTGTCAAATGCTTTTTCTGCATCTATTGAGAGGATCATATGGTTCTTGTTCTTTTATTAATGTGTTGTATCACATTGATTGATTTGCAGATGTTGAAACAACCTTGTAGCCCAGGAATAAATCCCACTTGGTCGTGGTGAATAATCCTTTTAAGGTACTGTTAGATCCTATTGGCTAGTATTTTGGTGAGAATTTTGGTGAGAATTTTTGCATCCATGTTCATCAGGGATATTGGTCTGTAATTCTCCTTTTTGATGCGGTCTTTGTCTGGTTTGGGGATCAAGGTAATGGTGGCCTCATAAAATGAGTTTGGAAGTTTTCCTTCCATTTCTATTTTTTGGAACAGTTTCAGAAGAATAGGTATTAATTCTTCTT